ATTCAAGTGGTATTTCGGTCAAAATGGACGGGAGACAGAGGATAGAATTTAACAGGCAAAAAATGATGAAAATTCCAAAGTAAGGAGTTTCGATGATATTGACGGCGAGAGAATACGAAGTCGGAAGCGATAACATTTGGGAACAATCTACTGTAGATTTCCCTTTTTAGATAATGAAGAGTTCGTGCATTTTACACATTTCACAAAATGTTTGTTTGCTGTCAGAAATAGGGTAACCAAACGCCTGGATTAGTTAGTAACGCCAACCAATAAAATTGCACGCTTTAATATGTCACCTCAGGTATGACTGTACACATGTGGGAGGAATATTTGATTTGGCTTCTGTGTCACAAACAGCTCGAAGACTTTTAATTGACCACGCCATTCTACATCACGACTATTAAAGGCCCAAATACAGTATATTGTAAGCCAAATCAATTAAGTAGATTGCTACGTGCAATAAATTAATAGAAAGTCAAGAAATGCACTGCGAGTGTAATGGATACATGGTCTTAGTTAATGCTTGAAAGGACTCACATAAACGAACACTGAATATGTCATCAATTAGCTTCAAAACGGTGCAAAATAATTGCAACTTGCATGGACGATAGAGATTTTCAAAATTGAGGGTTTTTACTAGTAAATTTCAATGAGTGTCCAATACTTATGTGTATTTCGTTCTCTGCTGCATGATCACTTTTCTGGCCACACGCGTCCAGGATCTCAGCTCTTCCAGTGCACTCTTCACGTATCCACCAATGAATAGAGATAGTCAGTGACAAAGGTAAGGACAAGGAGGAAAGAATGATAAACTCCTCATTGCTAAAGTATACAGTAGTAGTAGATTGTCTAAGCGTAAATAATCTTACTTAGCAGTTGAGTGAAAGATAAATTTTTGTTATGTTCACATCAAGGCCATACAGACTACGAAACTTGCAAACAACAGCGTGGAAATTGTTCATGTGTGTGGGGACACAAGTACTAGTACGCATCAAACAAAAATCGATGCTTTTCAAAGAAAAATAATAGCATTTTTGTATTAGTATTATAATTAGTAATTCAAATTTTAAAACCGTGGCGTTTAGAAATTTGACAAGATTACCTGTGGCTTGAGATATAACTTTTCAAAGTTCGGTTAATAAATTATGACAGGTATACATACGTAATACGGGATAACGATAAATATTTACAGTTTACGCGTGAACAATGATGGCAATACCGAGGGATGGGACAGCAAATCGTCTTCCGTGGGCTCACTGATAATTATCAACGCATTTGATTAGGAATCCTATTTCTCAAATATTAGCTGTCTCGCTAAATTACATTCAGTATAGTCTACTATAACTTTTTTAATATATAAAACAATTATAGTATAGAAAAAAATTAAAAGTATTTATAAAAAACCAAAATGTACGTAAAACACACATATAAAAAGGTACAAAGCTAATGCAGAATCATCCTCCTAAATTTGATTCGAAGTTTTAATTAAGAATTATTTTCAATTTCCATGCTATGCAAATGTCAAGCTTTGAGAAGCGTGTCGTGATTAGCAAGTAAACTTTTATTTTAAAAGACGCTTTTGGTTACACAGTTACTTTACTTCGCTCAACTACTTGTAAGGATATAATTCAGAAATTTTGTCTTTTCAGGTTCGAGATTGACACTAGTCTATTTGAAAAGTCCATTAAAGTATGTACTAACTAAGTAATGTAGAATTCGGAATAATTAACATAGTGTTGCACGTTGACCAAACTCATCGGTCGCCATTCCATTTGGCATTTCTCCGTTGCGGCCAGTTAGAAATTCCCTATAACTGTAAAACCGAGATGTAAGCAAACCTGATATTGAACAGTTACCAACATATTAGTCAAACTTACATTTCAGATAGTCGGAGATATTCTGATAGTGTAATTGATGGTCGTGTTATTTTCAACGAAGATTTCATGTGGACATTTGTAATAATCGCCTGTCGTTGAGAAAATAACTCGTTAATATTTTCACCGACAGGTAGCAAAAATTACATGTATATATTATCTTACCATCTGCTTTTCTGGAAGTTTTGGATCAATAATTTCAGGTGTCCCGTGTGATACGTATTCCTTTGTAATTAGGGCAAGCTAGGAGAAACAAAATAGATTGATCAATTTCGAGTATTTTCGAGAGTGTTCGTCGTCCACTCAAAACATATCTATGGGCATATACTCACTCTTGAGCCAATCTGTTCTCTCTCAGCAGCAGTTAAAACAGGTCCACTTTTCTCAATGCCAGCTGCAAATGATGTAAATTTGGTTATTTTGCTCTCTGGGAATTTAGTTGTATCTTGTTTGATGCTTGCACTGTCATCAATAACATCGCGAATGGCTTCAAGATATGCGTTGTAAAGCAACGCCTGGAGATCTGCACCAGAATAATCATTACATTTCTCAGCATAGAACGCGAGATCAACATCGGAACTTAAATGCATTTTACGCGCAAGAGCATCAAGGATCTACGGATTAAGCGAGAAAAAAATTCTTTTATAATGTGACACTGGCAATTGCGTAATAAATACGAGTACATCCTATAATACGCAGTATCCTTTGTCGTCCTTACCTCTTTTCTCTCATCAAGAGTGGGCATATTACAAAACAGCGACTTGTCAAGACGACCCGGACGCAATAAGGCAGGATCAATAAGGTCTGGTCGGCTGTACATGATTTATTTCAAATTACTTCATGATTTAATACGCAAATTACATCGTTTCTACGCTTACCTTGTTGCCGCGAGCACATATACACCATCGAGGCCTTCAGCACCATCCATTTGAGTTAACATCTGGTTTACGACCCTGTCAGTTACTCCTGTGCTATCATGACCTCTAATTGGATACCATAGTCGGTATAAATATATTATCAAATATAGGCTAATACTTATGTAATTCAACAATATCTACCTCTTTGGTGCTATTGAATCAAACTCATCAAAGAATAAAACGCAAGGTTTGGCAGCTTGAGCTTTTTCAAACAAGTCTCGGACCTACAAATTCCATTATTAGTAAGCAACAAAGAACGTATTGGCAGGTCTCACATTACATATATAGCCAATACCCACAGATTTCTCGCTAGCACCAATATATTTATTTAGCAATTCAGGTCCCTTAACACTAATGAAATTTAACCCGCACTCCTTCGCAACTGCGGACGCCAAAAGTGTTTTTCCACATCCTGGGTAACCATATAGAAGTAATCCAGAGCGCAGACGAAGTGGACAATTTTCAAATATGGAAGCATACTTTGTAGGCCATTCCAATGTTTCCAATAAAATTCTTCTCGGTTCCTTCAATCCTAACAACGTAAAGTCAGAATAAAGATGTATTAACGATACAAGGAAAAACATAGTATATAAACTAAGGTAATGATTCAACAAGTGAACGCCCAGACTTTGCGTACCGCCGATATCAGACCAATTGACACTTGATGTCTGAAGCTTAACTCCACGTAATGATACAGGGACAAATCCCTCTTGAGCTTTCTTGAAATCATCCTCGGTCAGTTCACCATTATCTAGTGACAGCTCGCCTTCACCAGTATATCTTGCGTTTAACTGCCTTACAACGCCTTCATGGATTGCCCTCTCAACGACTGATTTTAAATCAGCAGCAAGATAACCATCAGTACTACTCGCAACTGACAATAAATCAATCTTGGAAATGCTATTCGAAGCCATCGGTGGACCTGATGACATTATAGTTTCCATAATCTGTAAACAATAAAGAGTAAATGGTTTCACCATAAAAAAAGTAGATAATATAGAATGAGCATGTATAACGTATATTGGTAAATGCGTTGATTCAATAACAAACATCCAATCTGATGCTTACTTCCTTTCGTTCCGCCTTTGTTGGCGGATGCAGATGCACAATCTCGCTGAACAGGTGGCTCACTGTCAAGTATGAATGCACCGAAGTCTGTTGTTGAACAGTAGCAAATATAGCTATTCTGTGACGCTTTGTCATCCTGGAAGCAATTTGATAGAAGCATTCAGCCAGTTGACGAAATCTGAATGAGTCCATGTGCTACGTATGCGAATGTGCAAAATGAATTGTAAGAGAATTACTACGTCATTGTTTAAGTGTTAATGGTGTAAATATAGATACCTCGACTTCTGCCGGTATCAATCGATCCAGATCATCAAACAAAACAATGCTTGGGGCTCGCCAAGCTGCTTCATCAAAACATTGTTGCAGCTTTTCTTTTACAGTGGAAATACGATCTTCAGTGGCATCAGCACATTTCACTATTACACAGTCTGTTTTACAAAGGCTTTTTTTGGTGAGCAATGATAGAGAAAATTGGTACAGTAAATGGCAACACAAAGTGAACAGCTTACGGGCTAAAGTCTCATAATCAAGCGCCAGTGAATAGGCTACAGTCTTTGCAATAGCTGTTTTTCCTGATCCGTGTCCACCGCAAAGTAGTATTCCACCAAGTCCTAGTTCAATTAATATCCGGTGTGTCAGTCTGTGGCCATGGAACGTAAGTAAATACATTAAAGGATTATACCCCTCCCTACTTACCAGGAACTGCTAAGACAGATTTTAGTTTGACTTTGGCAAGACACGATTTTAAGTATGTCTCCAATCTTTTTGTGAGATTTGATACTCCAGCAAGTTTAGGTGGTATATCCATCGCAGAACTGCACAGATTATTATAAAAAAAAAGGTTAACACCGGGCCATCTACCTTAATAAGAACGTCATCTGATATACCCAACAATACCTATGATTAGATGAGTAATGTGATGCTATATTATTATTATTATTATTCACTGATACAGTAGCCGCTTTCGGTTGTGATATTCTAGCAATATAGATCAGTGAGTAGTAAAATTCGAGTGTTACGCGTCCAATTGTTTATCATACAATAGCCCGCCTACCTTAATATTCCAAATGTTTCTAAATCAACGCTTTCTCTGATGACATCAGTTACGTATACATGACCAGTTGGCACCTTTGCATTTTCCTTTACTGCCACACATAGACTCCCATTTCCTGCAGTACCAGTTTCACCATCGTTTTTCTCTTCATGGTCTTGCCTTGTATTATACTGTGGTTGAGGTACTTTTGATATCTGTGCCAAATTGTTGTGCATTAGCGGTAAATTCGGATAGTTGGTTGTGGACACATGTATTGTATTTGGACCGTCGTCATCTGAGAGAAATCCTTGTGGCAGTATGCGAAGACCATAACTTCGAACTGAATTGGATAAATGTGACCCATTAGCTGACGACGTGGAGGTATGTGAAGAACGTAATATGGGTTTGACGCCAACTTCCGTTTTAGATGAGATTTTGGCATATTTTGAGGATGGAATCAGATCACCTGTTACGTAAATAAATTAGACATATGTACGCAAGACAATAATATCAGAATTTAATTCCCAACATCTATCAGTAACTGACCAATACTGATGTGAACGAGATTTGAATTGACTCTTATTGGCACAATCTCTCCAGAATATACTACTAACAATTGCTTTAATAAATTATTTTCAATAAACGACTGACGAGAATCCTGCATGAAAGAAAACAATTTATCATTAGTATCATATATCATTTGAGTTCTAACCCTAACCCTAACCCTAACTTCACTATTCAGTACTTACCACAATCTCATAATCATTCTCATCTGCTGGTTCAACATTTACATAATCGGCCTCTTTTATATCTTTCATCACTTTTAAGATAACCTGTATGCACATATACAAAATTAATACGTTCCATTCTCGTTATTATTAGCGTTCATTTTCGTCGTCTACAATTAGCTTCCTACCAACTGTCCATGAGGTATACCATTCGCTTTGGCAAACACGACATCAAGTTCAATGATATCTTCTTTATCATAACGACCATTATTCAACCCGCCTTTTAATCCACTCGGACGGCCAGACCATGTGACATAAGCATGTCTCTCGGTTTTTTTGTCCGTCCAGGTAAGTTCTATTACAGAATCTTGCAATGGCTATAGGAGAATGGTGATTGACAGTGAGAGCATCATCAGTTATCATGTATTGAAAAAGAGGAATAAGAAGTCGAATATTGGATAACTCTCTTTCAATCGATTCTCACACTAAAATACACACTTTTCGTGTTAACACTCGTAAATTCTCTTCTTCATTTGCGTGTTCTTATATTTGTCTTTTTTACATACCGCATTTCTACGCAGGATAACGTCGCAAATGGAATTGGGGAGGTTAGCAAAACAAGATCTAAGGTCTTCCAGGTGCACAGTGCAAGTAAAAGGCGGTCTCGGATGGACCATTGCTAAGAGTTTTGATCAGCGAATGCGTGTGCAACAGTAATTTTATTTTGGTGATGATAGTAATAGTTCTCTCCAAGATTGGTACCACAGCTAAAATTATTCATTATAAGCTTAATAAAGATGTGTTCGATCCTAGAATGCTGACAATGATATGCTCTAGTTCTTTTTTAACTACGCAAGGCTTTTCTGTATACTAATATAGCTTTTTGTTCCACCCAATACTGCATACAACTCTGTCATAGCCAACTCTTCGGCAAAGCAACCAAGTTGAAATGTCTGATGTACTTTCGAATTCACAAGGTCCGATTGCACTTACAGTTCTTGAAATATTAACTTTTAGCCTTTGGCAAAATCTTATACAATCTGTTAAAAACTTTATCAATTCTATCAACGAAAAGCCTGTACTAAGTTGTTGCTAAAGATATTGATCACTGTTCAAGTCAGTAAAGATTTCGCATAGGATTGTATTGTTTATTAAATTGTAGTTGTCCCCAGGCTCGAACGTTCGTTAGTTTAGTATTTGCAAGTCTTAAAGATGGAGAAGTATGACAGCGAGGGTACAGAACTAGAACATGACTTCCATTTTAGCTATATTACCTCAACTTCTGGTAATAATGTATTTTCTGGGCAACCGCCTTATAACTTTCTATTTTGAGAAACCTGCGTGCCACATAAAACAAGGTTATGTGGGGGGCGTTATCCAACCAAAAAGGGCGCAACATTCTCATCCCTAAAAAACGATGGTAGTTGAAGAATCTCTATCAGTGGCCAAAGAAACGAGTAAGGAGGAACAAAATGTATTAGCCATCGAAAACCTCACTATTAGTGATCAACCCTCAAAGAACAAGAAAAAGAAAAAGAAGAAGAAAAAAGCTAATCCTGAAAACGGTGACGCGGCTTGCGTTGACGCAGGTAATTTGCTCGATAAAATTTATCATGCCCTTTGGTGAAAGTTTATGCTAAACCATCTCCTGCGCTTCCTAAGAGAAGAATAATGGCCAACCGGCAACGTCTGCAGATAAATCAGTAACTGAGGGTAAACCGGATAAGGTGGCGGAGGAAGAGGAAGAGGAAGAAGAAGAAGCTGAAGTACAGGATGGCGGAGGTGAGTAAAATTTCAATAAAGAGTACTACGTGTAATTGGTGAGAGATATGTCTATCAAGTTTACTCATAATATATATTAACTTGACTCCTTATCTAAATTGTATTTCTGAACGATAAATCTATTTACCTTATTTACTTACCTAAATGATTCTCTTATGTCGGAAAGCGAGTAAGAAGAAGAGCAAGAAGAAGAAGAAGAAATCAAAGAAGAAAACGCAATCGGAACCGCTATCTACTCCAGTGTCTCAGTTATATCCCAATAAAATTTTTCCCGAAGGAGAGATGTGTGAATATAAAAATGAGTATGTTGAGAGTAAATTATTAGTTTACATACATTAATGCGCAGTCTTTATTATAACATTTTATAATGTGTTTGTATGAGCAGCAATTTAAACAGAACTACCAATGAAGAGAAAAGATATCTTGATCGTATGCATTCCGACGAATATAATGATCTTAGATGGGCTGCCGAAGTCCATAGAACTGTGAGTTATCAGCCTGTTTATTAGGACTACGTTATTCGACAATTCATACTAAATATAAAATAATAGAATGTCCCATTTACGCGTTTAATAGTCTCACCTCTCTTGCGCATATGTTATATTTCGTAGGTTCGAAAATATGTCCAGAAAACGGTTAAACCGGGAATGTTGATGATTGATATTTGCGAAATGATTGAGAATGGAACACGTACTTTAGTTGAAGAGCAAGGATTAGAAAGGGGTTAGTGATACTGCTTTCTTTGCTAGTCGGTAATGCCACCCTGTCGATTGTAGGAGTATATCGGGCCGATCACAACCAGTTTGCAACACTCTGTGGTCACCCTTTCTTGTGGGTGATAACAATTTTTCTGCAAACGAGATGGATCTATCCTTAATACTCACCTTCAACACAGTATTTTATGTATTGAACGGTCTATCCCAGAGGATACATTTAACTATGATCCACGTGATATAAATATAATATCGAGACAACGATTGATGATTATCACTATATTAGTATCTCATTTATCTAAGTTGACAGTACTCATTTATTTTCTCTGGCTCTCTTGCCCTCTCCTTCTTTCTTGCGCAGGTATTGGATTTCCGACTGGTGTTTCCCTGAATAATTGTGCTGCTCATTACACTCCCAATGCAGGGGATACAACGGTTCTCCAATATGACGACATCTGTAAAGTTGATTTTGGAGTACATGTAAATGGTAATTGCGATTGGATAATGCGATTGCAACTCAGTCATATTATTGCGACGCGTTGGTGGACTGGACATTTATAAGCTTCTGACATCTCTTATAACATTTAGGTCGTATTATCGATTCTGCATTTACCCTTGCCTTTAATCCGATGTTTGATCCTCTGAAAGAGGCTGTTAGAGATGCAACCAATACCGGTGTTAAGGTGTGAATATAATCTTGTGCCAGTATGCTGCGATACCGAAACCAAAGCACAACAAGACTGATTATTATTTCTTCTTTAGGAAGCCGGTATTGATGCGAGGCTGGGAGAAATTGGGGCTGCTATACAAGAAGGTACAACATCTAGCAACAATTAGAATTTGTCTATAACGGATACTTTTTCTCCAGCAAATAATGACTTTGACGCATTACAAATTACTTTCATTTAGTAATGGAGAGCTATGAGGTTGAAATCAATGGCAAGACGCATCAAGGTCTGAACGAATGGATAAATAATCATCTTTATGTGTGAATGTCTGTTTCTTCACTAACAATGAGATTATTTTTCATGCTTTTATTACAGTTAAACCAATTCGCAATCTCAATGGTCATTCTATCCTGCCTTATCAAATACATGCGGGCAAATCAGTCCCAATTGTAAAAAGTGGTGATCAGACGAAGATGGAGGTGAGTCAATTAGAACAAATGAATTGCCCCAATGATAGCTCAAATATGACGTTTGATTTAAATTATGAACATATACTTATTATATACCACTTTCTTTTTTGATTTTTAGGAGGGAGAATGCTTTGCCATAGAAACGTTTGGCAGCACCGGTAAAGGTTATGTCCATGAAGATGGTGAATGCAGTCATTATGCAAAAAAGCACGATACTCCACATATACCACTACGGTAATCATTCAAAATCTTGCACATTCGCTTGTCCGCTTGCATTAATATGTTCTTTGTCCATTTCGATCCCAGCGTCACTAAAGCAAAAGCTCTACTCGGTACTATAAACAAGAACTTTGGCACACTTCCCTTCTGTCGTCGATATCTCGATCGTCTTGGTGAAACAAAATACCTTTTTGCACTGAAGAATCTAGTCGATGTTGGGCTTGTCGAGCAATACCCTCCATTATGTGATATCAAAAGCTCATACACGGCTCAATTTGAACATACTATAATTCTACGCCCTACTTGTAAAGAGGTATGGAAGATGCAAGTCTTGATTGAAGGATACTAAAAAAGAAATTAGAGAGGACGGTTTGCTAACGTATGTTTTATTTTGTTGATCAGGTTATTAGCAGAGGCGACGATTATTAGATGGTGAGTGAAGGAAATTTTTAAAGTATCTGTCATCAATCACAATGTAATTTACAATAAAAATTCAGTAAAGCCATTATTGAATTTGTTTACGTATTAATCTTACAGCAGTTGTTCTCGTTCTGCAAGACATGATCATTGCAATTTACTCCTTGATTCCATCATCTATTTATTCAGAAAACAAAACCCACAATGTTATTAGGTACCTACATCGCATACAGGAAATTTGGATTCGTTACTCAAAAAACAGATGTCTGCTTTTCAGGTACCACTTCAAAGAGGGTTGGAATCTTGGAACGACCAGAACATGCTGAAAATCTTGGAATGAGATATAACTATAGCCAAGTAGCTAGGAAAGAACTACTTCAAAGGCGTTAAGACGAGCACTTAGATTCCTGATATGTATTTAACTGTTAATTGTTCATGACTTCTGATTTTAATAAAATTTCACCGAAACGTGCACACGCTAAAAAGATATTTTCACTCGACTTTACAAAGATAACATTACTCGTTGGTACCAACCATGTCGTCGCCGACTTACTATGTTATAGGCTAATTTCCTTTTCGAACCATAAGATTATAGTTTCTCGCTAAATGTATATTTTAAAGATCCAAGTAGAATATCACCAACCAACGTCATTGGTTCTAATAAACATAACGGCAACTATATAATCGTGTAACCTGCTATCTGGACTATAAAGTATAACGCGTAATACATATTTGGATTTTGTACCAATCTGTATGCCATTATTGACTCAATCATCGTGGCAAATCAGTGCTGCGCGCCCGACCGTTTTCGGTATAAACCTGATTTGGCTTTTGTTTTGTGTGGCGACGATCCATGAACAATGATTTTCTGGACTGTGGGAATTTTGAGCGCGTTAACGTGATTTCTTTATCCTTTATAAACGCGTTCAATAACCCAATACTTTAGTAACAAACGAAGTTTCTTTCGTTCAATCACCCCAGGTGTCAATACATTGACATCATAAGCAAAAATATGGCCCGAACTCCCAACAGATCTGAGCATTCGGAAAGGGATGAACCGACGTCTTATATAGACGAGAGAAGCACCAGGGGCAGTGTGGGAAGCGTTGAAAGTAATAAACCATCACCTGGCCCCGACATGCAAAATCTGTCATTCGTTACCGCAGAGCGCATCCTACAGACACCACCACCAGTTAGACAGCGCAAACGTCTGAGATTAGCTTTCACTCCGACAGAGGACGAACTTCTGTATAACTATGTGTTAAAGAAGCACGAAGAGAATTACTGTATCAAAGGCATGGTGATATACCAAGCGCTTGCACTTGAGCATCCTCGTCACACTGCACATGCGTGGCGAGACAGAGCTATTAACCGTATTGTTCCAGTACTCTTGGCCCAATCCCCACGTAAACGAGATCATACCAGGAAAGCTAGCAGATCCAAATTCACCGTCGAAGATGACCAGTTTCTTTGCGATTGGATTATTAAAAAGCGACAAGAACGGGAATCCATCGCCGGGAATGCTATCTACCGAGACTTGGCTGAGGAACATGAACAACACACATTTCACTCATGGCGTGATCGGGTATTGAGAGTTATCATTCCTCAGTTAAAGAGAAGTGGCCAATGGCCTGAGGATAATACGGTGGCTGTTGAAGACGAAATGACGAGGCAAAGAAAATATGAAGAGGACAGACAAAAGGGTGATTGTAATAATGATAGTGATAGCAGTGATGACATCGCGGAGAGAGTTAAGAGAAGAAGGGGGAAAATGAAGGAAGTCGGAAATCATAATAGGGGTAGGAATAAAGTTGAGAGCGAAACCGAAGAGGAATGTGAGCATGAAACATGTGCAGAAGAACGTGTGAAAGCAAGTACGAGTCGCAGAGTAACGGTGAAGATTAACAAGTAGGAACATTCTTTATGGATTAGACAGTAGATTAAATGATTTGACTCGTTTTAGGTTAATCTTCATTATATGTAATTAACTTGTCTTTTGTGGTTCGATACATAAATTTGTATAGTGTTTGTTATATTTCTTTATTTGCACGCGATATTTATCTTGTGCGTATACATGTAACTAATACCATAGAGCATTCACATGGCACTCTGGTCGAACAAATAATAAATATTGGAATACCAAAAATTTTACAAGTGTTGTGGACAATTTCACAGGAACAAACAAGTACAAGATCTTTATTCCTTGATTACATTTGCATACAAAACCAATAATACAACAAATTATTGTCTCGTCAACACATTCGAGCTTCGTTGGTATGGTATAAAGGTGAAATTCGAGACTTTGAACACTACTATACTATAAAAGTGTCTCTATTGATTGTACACAGCCTTAATACGAGGTATCTACTATATCATAATATCATTGTTCTTCCAAAGTAACGACTTTACATCTGTCCCTCATCTAGTGGATCTATTCCTTTGGGTCACCAATACCGTCAGCGTTTATGGCAAACACAGCTTCAGCCTCGGGCAAACATGGCGAATCATATATTTTGCAGATTCTTTGCTCTCCTCGACCTTTACGAAGATAGAGTCTGCAGATCAACAACAAAAAGACGAATGAACGTTAAACAGATTGTTGCGTAAACATTTCCTCACTAAAATGATAAGTTGGTTGACATCTTTTGATGTAATCTGTATAGTAATTACCTTGTTGTTGATGCATGAGCAATGATATTACCACCAATAGGTTTTTTAGGATCCGGATTAAACATAGCGGACCCATCAACTTGAGCGACTACTTGATTCGTTACCACCACCGCCACGCCAAATTCATCCGCCAGTCGAGAAAGGGTACGAAGAAACCTTGCTAAATGCATTTGTCTAGCAGACAGTTCACCTCGACCATAATAATCTGTTCTATAGTGTGCCGTCGCGCTGTCGACAATCAATAGCGCAAATCTTGCGAAGATGAAAGAGACAATGTTCAAATAATGTATATACACAGACGTAATTGCAATCTGAAAACAAACTATCACTTCTATACGTCAGTACCTCGATTGAGCCATCATAGCCGCAGCTTGAACAAGTAGTTGCATCTGATGATCGGTATTGTGAGCCTTTGCATATGCAATATTATCCATCACTCCTTCTCCGTTCAATCCAAATCTCTCTGCAACTGCTAACAATCGTACAGGTCGAAAGGTGCCTTCGGTGTCTATATATATACATTTCCCTTCACCACCACCCATTGAAACTGGAAGCTATCGAAACAAAAAGAACGCGTAAATATTCAATAAGACTGATCACGTGACTGAGGATTCTGGCTACCTGACATGTTACAGCAAGCGTGTGACATAGTTGACTTTTCCCGGTACGAAATTCTCCCCAGAGTTCCGTTATAGATCCAGTCTCTATTCCGCCTTTGATGAAACGAGTAATGTGAATGGAAGAATACTTGTGCGATTGACAAACATCGAATCGAATAGCTACCATCGAGAAGTTTGTCGAGTTCTTTTGCTCCTGTCGTCAGATGAATACGTTCGCTCATTAAATCATGGAATCTTGTGGCAGTTGTAAAACCCATTGGCACTAGTTTGGTGGCTACATAAGACATAGACGTTTAATCATGCGATAAAAATAAAATATATTATATATAACTGGTCGCGTGTAAATGGTCCCTTTCACGTAACATTACCCTCAGTTAGTATCTTATCAGCCTTTGCTTCGGAAATACCCTTGATAGATAATATTGACTTCTTAGGGGTGTATGCAACTGCTTCAACAGTGTAATATCCGGCCTCTGACAGCTTCTTGATATCAGATGCATTTATTCCGCATTTCTAAAAATCTCTAATAGTCAGGTCACGTTCAGTTGTAAACGTCCCATAATACCTCCAGAAAGTACCTCTAAAGTCTGTATTGGTGCGGGTCCAATAAGCTCTTCATCACACAACTCTTCTTCTTCTTCTTGATATTGAGACATTATTTTTAATGTTTATATAAATTATTATCCAGAGTAGAAGTCCAATAATGGTGTCCAAAGAAATAGAAAGAAGGTTAATGGGGTAGGCGTGTTGTGTTAATTATGGCGTTCTGAAAACTTATTATTATACGAGTTTGATTCCGGTTGACCAATGATAAGACGGAAATCCGAATGTAAACACGAGCCGACGCGTATTAGTATTGCCCGCAGAACTTCCAAAATCACGCTTTCTGCAATATATTAATATTTAAATGCAACATATTATTTGAATAATGGTGTAGAACTTAAAAACGTTCGAACGCTTTGCGTACGTTTACTCACTTATGGAGCGAAACCCCGGCAACCTTAGATCGTTGCATGGAACGTTGTGCATTCAAGCATGACACAAAATTTGCTCATGATAAAAGAATTAAAAAGCCGAGTGTAAGAGTATAAGCTTGTTGATTTATAACAATCTGGATAAGTAGTCCTTGTCGCTATTACTTATTGTTTCGCTATACAAACTTACGTTTAACATTTAGCAAGTCAATAAACAATAAAATTTGGTGTCCGAACAACCAGGAAATGAGGGGTTTTTTTATTCTATCAACCGCTTTGTCCTTTGCTTATTAGAAAACACTTGCCATGAAGCCTTATAGCGGTAACAAGGTCAGGTTAAACAATAGAGAGAATATTATCCTATTGTGCAAGTGTTTAGATGTAAGAATGAAACAGAAAAGAATAAATCCCATTTTATACTTCATCGTTCAAACAGCTATTCACATTATCAATGCCTACCACCTCTTCGGGATAGATATTAATAGTCCACGACTTGGGAGCTGGATAAGTGTCTAAAGTAGTGATCCTGCTATAGCTAGTATTTAAAGGGGGATACACGAACCCCCATGCTGTTCATATATTTATCGAAAAACAACCCATTGCCATAAATATCGTCCATTTCACAAACAAGCAATGTCAATTCTACGATTAGTTTAATGCATTCGGAATATCTTCATAGATTACATCAATGTCTAAGATCATAAATTACAGCGTTGTATCTACAACATATATGACACCGGGATTATTAATCGTATATGGTGCTATATCATGCAACGTCCACACTTTTCCTGACGTCAGCCGCTTGCAGGAGCTTCTAGCAAAGCTCAGAAGCTGGGACAATTCAACTCACCAATCTGGAATTTGATCAAAATCATATCCTTCGTATCCCTTGTATGCATAGTATGCCAGTCGTACATGATAGAAGCCTGAAAACGAGTTTAGAACCACCAGTGGATTAAACAAAATCCATCGTAATGTCCAAATATGATTAAACAAATTTGATCCCGTCATTGGCATATAGCCTGCCACCCATACTTACCAGGAATGAATAACAATGCCCCAAGGAATAGGAATGGTTTCCCTCTATCCAACCAACTCTACATGCAACAAGAGAGACGTTTAATACTATTTAACCCGATGCATCAACAACCAGAGTAATCGGCTCGTAACTCTAACAAATACACTAACAAATACAAATACAATACAGCTAAAGCAATCTCAATTTGCTGTCGTGCTTACCTCGTCAGAAATAACGCCAGCAACAAGAAGAGATCCAAATACAATGCCTAAAGAGCCCAAGACGAACAGAGCTGTTGCCAACATAATAGAACTCCAAGGAACTATTCACAATAGTAAATATCTGGTGTATTAGTATCAAATCAGGCAAGTATAGGGTCAACCTCAACTGTAAATCTGTTCACTCACTGAGCCTACTACGTACTTGGTGGTTCAGGTCTCTCGAACTGTGCAGCAACGAAATCCTGGTCACCCAATTGGATGTACCCCTGATTGTTGCGGAAGGGACGCAAGTCTTGAAAACGCCGCATATTGGATTGAGAGTAGCAATAACAAAGATTCTATGCACTATTTCACGAATTCTTGGGAGAGAGATTTAGTGAGTAGCGTGTGGTGAACGCAGTTGGACGGCATTGTTATTTAATCATGTGAGACGAGTGTTAACTACGATCGTATAGACTGTCGGAGTTTCACGATATAATGGGAATGACAACTGATTGGTTGCCCTACGTCATAAATGGCAACAGGATTGTACAAAAAATAGCCATTGCCTTCACAATTACAGAACATGTATCATAGACATTGATTCAAAAAGTTTACTTCTGTTAAACTGTGCTCAGATTATAAGACCCGCGCGAGCGAGATACGTTGACGTTGTTTTAATGCATATTTTTTATTAAACTAAGCACGTGGACATATAAAGCATTCTGTTCTATCAATTATGTATATTTTCGAGGACATAATATGACAGCTCTTTCCTACACTGTGGAACCTTTGTTTTACTGTTGTTAGTTCTTTCTCATTTTAGTTAGTACCGGATATTCATATATATATTATTATTATTATCTAAAGACCGTCAAATTAGCCTTTCCAAGTTTTCACATACTACTATTTCATACCTAGTAAACAATACCTTTTGCTATTATTATATATTTAGTTTATCGAGAATGGACAAAATGTTTAAGCCAAAACCAGAGAATACTCTCTTCACGCATTTCTCGCATCAATCTTCGATACTAATACTAATATTACTTTTTGTCAATTCCAAAAAATTTCTAACGCATCTACATAGAATTAATATTGCTATAAAAATTTATAGTAGTCTGGTCGGTATGTTATGGCCCGCTTAATTTCTATAACACTGAGCAAACAGTCATAAACTTGATTATTTTGCAAAGCGCGAAAGGTTTATAAGACGTTCTCAAAGAAATTTGGATATCAACGTACTTTGAAAAAAAGTATTTACATCAATTCACTAAGGTTTTATATACAAAATTGCAAGTATGTCAAATACGCGTCAGCAAGCGTGCACACAAAATTTGTAGTAGTGGGCTAAAGATCTCGGTAGCGTAAATAAACAGGTAACCAGTTAAAAAGGCACACTCTGATCAATTACGTTAATACGATCTGCTACGTTAATCCCCAAAAAATAGTCACTATTCGAAGAGCTGCATTATCACAGAGTATATCACAGTTTGCCCGGAAAATAATCTGCAAAGTCGAGGTGCGTTTTTCGCATGGAAACAACTTGAGTTCTGTAGCTCGCGCTTGTATGTTTTCTTAGAGTTGATTGATAGTATACAAAGTTAAAGGATACAAGAGTTAACAAAAATATTGTATTTAATTACTGACTTAAGAATAAACATAAGCTGTCAAAAAAAAATTGACTCAACAACAAAGTTAATTAAGCAACCAAAAAAGTAACTTTGAATCTAGAAGACGCTAGAGTAAGAAAAATAACGAATAGTACTGTAATAGATGGTAATTGCGCGAAAATAATATGAGCGCAAAAGGTAGACAGAGAACACAATTGTTAATGTTCAATCTGTTCCAAATGTCAAATGCAGAATACGCTTATTCAAGAATCTCTCAAAAAATTACAATTCTGCTTTCTTAACATTGAAAAAGTTTTTATACTTGTTGGCAGCAGTTTCTTACGTTTAACCAATATATTAATAACGTTTACTATTCAACTTGCGGAATTTCTGGTAAATATATTAGCAATTCTGAGTGCTCATTCAGTATTAATCTTGCATTTCTGCTATGTACTGTAAAATCACAAAGGTGACCTTTGAGAGACGATAGTGTATTGGTAATTTAACAAGCCTAGGCGTTATAATTGTGTTTCTAACAAAAACGTGTGAAGTGTGGTTCAACATAGATAGACAATACGCGAGCCTATATGTAATATTATCAAATTTTTATTGTTTGTAACAACCTACATGGTAATAAACTGCACTACAAAAGGGCATTTTCTGTCATAACTTGATTAACGCGTTATTAGCTATAGTGGAAATTTAGGTGAATTAGCTTATTCAGATATAACAAAAATAAGGGTTCGGACGAGACAGATCAACTAAATACTGGTTGTTTAAATTGGGTAGTGGAAACTAACTTCGACAAACCACTTGGTTTATAGAAAGTGTCTAATACTAGCTCATTGAACAAATACTTTAACAAATACACGAAAGCCTTGACAAGGAGGAAACCCGTACCAACGAATATCGAATTTGTAAGATAAAGTATAGCAAATAGACCGTAATGTTGTAGATATAACCGTACTCAAAGTCATTAGGATTCTGCTTGTTCAGCATGTAGACAACTATAACACCTGTTAAAAGGCAACCGACATAATTCTACGCGGAAAATTGTTATTATGGAAGATATAAGAGGGAGCATTCTATGTTCGCATTCAAAGAATTTAATCCTTAATTGTTGGATAGCTTCATTGATAAGTAGGGCATTAACCCCATTAAGAGCAATATTGTGAATCCGGGCTTATATACCAAGCGTTATAACTCTAAGTGAATAACCTCGGCAATCAGCAACTACGAGCGATTCTGGCTTCTTTCTTGGTTATATAATTGTTATTTTTACTAAATGCAATAAATGACTGTTTATTCCTTCTTGTGTTGTTTTTTTTTTCGAGTAAACTTACGACATAGTTGTATTAATTATAAAGCCTTTCATAATGGGGCATGCTGCAACAAAACCAGACAAAGTGAACATGTGGTGGCTTGGCCTTTGGGTGAACGTAACAGTCGGCGAGTGACGTACCAAGACGTTCTTGCCAGCCACACGAAGCTCCGCTGTCACCTTAAAAGATTAGTTAGTACAGGAGGTGCGCTTAGCCTGCATGAAACTGTGAAAGTCTCGTCCGAAGTTTTCGCCAACCGTTATATGCGTTTTTTGACTAGTCTTGCATATTATAACCCTCAAAAGCCAAACAACACTCGTACCTGTGGGCTTAATAACGTTTGTTCGCGCATGCGACGCGCATTCGAAATGAGAGCGAAACTCGCCAAAATCCGAAAACCCGCATGACCGTCTTCAGAATTGTTCTCGGAAATGAGCCCAGTACGTGAGACTCGGCAGCTCCACGAATAAGCGACGTATAGTAATGTTCTTACCAACGTCGGAAAGCTCTCGTGTCGCTCTAGATACCTTGTTAGAAGAGGAATTCCGCTTACCTCTAGGCGAACCGGCGAAACACACAACGCGTGGTTCATACGCCTTGACCAATTCACGCCGTTTGATCCATTCCCTTCTCTGCGTTTGACACTTTCTTCACATCCAATATTTCTTACCGCGGTCCTCATCCTCGCACTTGAAATTTGCTTTCCCGCGGGACGTCGTCCACCAATTTGAGATCTTGTCGTCTGACCAGCCCCACTGCCATCTGCACCGCAGGCAAGTTGAAGAACTATATAACACTAATTATTGGCGACCCACAGTATCCAGCACTCGTACGCGCTTAGTTTAGCACTTGATGCTTTACGACTCCTGCGGCTGTTGCTTAGAGCAAGACGCGAAGGATACTCTCTTTGACGTCGTCCTGATGGATGCGCAGTAGCCTACTCCTTTGATCTTGTGTCTAGTATACTGGACATGGCGCTTCCTACACCTGTATGCGCTTAGCTAAGTCCTCAGGGCTTAGTGACCCTGCAGCTGATGTTTGGTAGAGGAGGGGCGGGATACTCTCTTTGACGGAGTCATCCATTGAAGGACTTCCTCTCTGTAGCCTACTCCTCGGTCTCCTTTACCAGAAGCATCATGTCAAGCCAATACTTTTTCTTATCTTCTTGTGTCCTACCATTGTTATACCATTGTTAGTACTCTAATAACGTTCTGCATTTTTTGGGCAGGAAAATGAATTTTGAAAAGCATATCTTGAAGTACCTAGATGTTACTGATTATACAGAATGGAGTTTGCTAGGACTCCTAGAGTATTTGGCAGGAAAAGTGAGCTACTCAAGTGCAAGCTTAGAAGATATTATTGACAATTTCACAGTTGTTCTGCAAGCTAGATCTACAAACAAAGCCTACCTTAGATCGGCACAAAAAAAAGCTGAAAGACTCTATATAGGGTTGGATTCAACGAGAACTCGACCAGAAATTCTACAATTTCTTAAAGTTTTAGATTTGGAGCATGCTGAAGTTAGTTTTATATATTTTTTGACAAATGCTCTTATATGCAACAAAGACTAACCCATGCATTTTTTCATAGAACCTGTACAGCATGGATGTTGAACTCGGCGTCGTCTCAAATAAATCCGCCCTGGTAGCTCTTACAAATGAAAAATTTTAGCTGTAAGTATTGTCTAGGGAGCTGAACGGGTTGTTCGAACCCGGATTGACCTGATGCGACTCATTTCCGACCCTGCGTAGCCCTAGTATTGTCACCTTATCTCTGGATTATTGAACACTGCATTTTAATCTATTATTTTTACAGTCTATTAAGAAGAAATCGAAGTCTCCTCTTGAAAGCGATCAGGCAACACCAATTAGAGATGCACCCTCTCTAGTAACGTCTTCTGCAAGCAACTCGGTCGCTGCCTTAATTGATTCAAGGAGTCCTGAAAAGAGGAAGCGTGAAGAAGATAATGTAAGATTCTAAAACATTGTATGGTGCCTATTTAAGAAAGTCACTTGAATGTTGCCATCTTCTGTCCAGGAAATTGCAATGGATATTTTTAGCAATGAAGTTGAATGTTCAGACACAATGCGAGACATTTGTTCTGAGCATACAAAATACTACCCTGACGACGACGTTATTGATCTACGGCCAAAATCGACATTCTCCAAGCGACTATCAAGCCGAATCATCGAAAAATATGTTGTGGAAATCGAGGAGAAAACGGAGAGTCTGATTCCCGAAAATGTGCATAATTTTCTCACAGAATTCTTTTCTCAAGATTTAACTGGCGCAGAATGGCAGCAAAGAATCGATGATTTACGATCACCCGACGACAGCGATACATTAATGGTTGCAACAATGCGAATTCTACGGCGGACGTTGCCGCAATTGTAAGGGCGAGTCGTTATGCTTTTTCCCAATCGTTAATTTGAATGTATTCAAACATCATACTATGTTGAATTTTTGTAGTGTGAAAGCATTCTCTCTTGGCGCTTTCAATCCTCTGCTGAGTGTCACAGCGCTTGAAAAACACATCTGAATGCCTTCGTTCATCCGTGCATCGAGGCAACTCTTTGGCACATTGCTCAGGTCCACTATGAGTTTGGCGAGATTCCGTCTAAAAATCACGTCAATCGCGAATGTGCAGATGGCGTCGGATTTATGACAAGTGCGGACAAATTTCAGCTTGTCTATGTTGAAGGATCTAGGCCAACAGCCAAAGACACCAAAGAAATTGCAGACGCCAGAAAAGTAGCAAGAAATTTGCAAAACATGTTCTCAGAAATTGTTAAAACTACGATAAATAACCGACGGCGCCTTCCAGCGGATATGTCTGTCTTTGGCGGCCAAAGCTTTGAACTGAGGATATATCTTCATTTCTTGGACTATTGTGGTATGATATATCGGTTTCCATTAAGAATGTTTCTCGCAAGAACGTACTGATGCAATTTTGCCTCTGGTTACAGGCAAACCCCGCTTAAACGAGGTCGATAACGCAAATGTTCCACGTGATTTTTCGGAGATGCTAGACTTTGTCTCGTATTACGAATGTATTTTGAAATGGGCGGTATGTATAACTCATGGATTTGATGTTACAATCATTGAAACCGTACTAATTCTTGATGAATTTAGCTGATGATCAAAAACGTCACGAATTCTTTCAAGAAGATCAGAACGGAGAAAAGACCATCGAGACTATCGTACGTAAAAAGCATCCGCCTTCTGGAAGATGATACGAAGTCAATTGATGCCGTTAAGGACAAATAATATTCAAGTAAGCCATTTATATAAGAATTGACAACTTTTATGAGGACATTTGGGTGTTAATTTTGTAGGGCATAAATGCGAATAAAGTGGTTTAGGTCTAGTGATTGCAATCCTGATTTTAGAATTTGAACACCAATACCCAAGTTATCACCACTGACCTGAAAGTTATAAGCGGTCGTGATTCCCGTACGTTGTAAATCTTCAAACAAGAAGCTCTATCCACTGTACGCAATACTTTATATATACAATACACATAATGCATTATTCTTCCGATCCAGCGGAATGTATGGTAGTGGCCCTCATTATTTGTTAAGGAGCGCAATGAGTACGCTTTTTAATTTCACAGACAGTATTACGGATATTTCCGATATAACGGTTTACACAATAAAAGATGAGAGGTATTCGTAAAGCCACGTATCTTAAATTTACTATTTTATGACGGTGAACGTGGTGAATAATAAGAATGTTTGTCTTTTGAGTCAAGGTTTGTTAGGCCGCAAAGTAAAAGCACTGTACTATTGCGTTATAAGAACGTTAGATGAAAAGAACCAATTGGGAGTATTTGTACGCTAGAATTAATGCGCATTTTAAGAATTGTTGTTATTTTATATTATGTACGAAAATTATACTCAATAAAGCTGGAGTATATCGTAAAACCAAACACATTGCGCCTTGATTAATGAGAAAAGGCTTGGCCCTTTTTTGCGCATTGATGGTTAAATAATTCTTGCTTTTGTTTATCATGTCAATCCTTTGAAACATCTAAGGCTGTCAAGTGAGAACTGATTTCTTCCTGAGCACTGGCTAGTTGCTGTTTTAAATCCTTGTTTTGTTGTTCTAATCTACCCACATAACTCTGAGCCATTATTTCAG